CACAGATTTTGAAATTGCAACTCCAATTGCAGCTTGCAATTGTTAAGGCAACTAGATATGTCTGATTACAGCAAATGTGTTATTGTCAATTTGTAGGTGAAAGATTTTATCCTCAATAGATGTAGGTTAACATTTCACCTGTAGGCAAATGCTTAAAAAAGCCTAAGTAAGGAAGCATATTCTTTTAACACATAATATCTGACCAGTATGGGGAGGATCATCATGTCTCCATCAGGGGGTCGTGGAGTGGTGGTCCAGCAGGCGTCACTTTTTTGAAGGGGGGGGGGGGCACGGATGTATATGCGATCGGACATATATGCAATCGGACGTATATGCGATCAGACGTATATGCGATCGGACGTATATGCGATCGGACGTATATGCGATCGGACGTATATGCGATCGGACGTATGTTGTTCGGTCAGACGTTAACCGGCGCATGACTGTATTACTTTTACTGTACTGTATCCATTCCTCATCATTTATTAGTTTTACTGTACAGTGAGCTCTGCTATAACGCGTGTTTTGATAACGCGAATTTGCTCTAACGCGATTTATGAATTAGGAACGATATTTGTATAACGCGAACGCTTGTTTGCTATAACGCGATTTTTGCTTACTATTTCTCCAATTTTGTGGTATTAATTGTGAATATGGTAAAGAAGAATATCTCCAAGAAGTGTTCTGGTGATAGAATTCCCGGTGATGATCGTAAAAGAAAGGATATAACACTTGAAGAGAAGCTCGATGTTATCAACCTCAAAATCACCCTTCTCCCCCATCAAGTTACATTCATATTTTTTCAAGGTAAAGTGTTACATTTACTGTATGATTTCAGTATTAGATATGAATGTAACATTTATTTAGACTGTGCTATCCTTTGTGTTAGGCTAACTACTAAATTTTTTTGATTTCGAGTAATCTGCACCTAACCCTATTTTCTCCATAAGCCCTGTTATTTCTATTACGCGATTTTCTATAACACGATATTTAACAAGAACACAATTATCGCATTATAGCAGAACTACCTGTACTGTATTTCATTGTAGATTTTTTATTTTTATTTTTTTTTAAATTTTGAATTTTTATTTATTTTTTTTTTTTTTATCTATATCGGACTTACAACCATTCGGACGTACGACCTGGATTTGGGTCCCTAACCCCGTCGTAAGTCGGGGAGCACCTGTATTTGTATATTAAATACCATACCATATGGGAAATATAGGGTTCCTCATTGACACGAAAACCACAATATTTACATAAAAAATTAAAGCAGTTAAAAGATAATGAAAAACCCTAACTAATGTACAGTCAACCTTCACTTTACGCGGTAGATGTAACCCGCAGGGTCCCGCGGAAAGTGAGGAATGTGTAAAGTGAATAACATAACATATGGGATTAATTGAAATAGAGTCCGGGCCGACCCCCAAACTCCACTTTTTGACGACACACAACTTTGTTGTAGTAAAAATTTTATCTTAACTTTATGATGGTATGAAAAAACAAGTAATATAGAAGAGGTTAGGTTAGGAAAAATAAAGGTTAGGTTAGGAAAACTAAAAATTATGTGGAACACTTACATTAGTAGAAGAGATGGGTCGGCATACGGGGATGGAGGCTGGTTCCGAGGCAGAGGACAGATTACTGGCCCTCAGGTGAATCACCATCACTGTCACTTACAGTTGTCAGCGCTTCCCTGACAAATCCCTCAAAGTCATCTTCACTGTCACTATCACTGGCTTGGGCTGGCTGTGGTGGGTTGCGGGCGAAGAACTCGGTTATGCTTTTTTGACGGCTGGTGTTTATGTTGTCGTGATACACCGTGATGTACGGCTCCATAGCCTGCACCAGCCGGGTATGGAAGACTTCATAGCGGTCATCGTCATTGTCGCGGGAAAGGAAGGACTTCATTTTCTCTGCAAACTCCATGGCACCCTTAATATCACTATGACTTAAACTGTGTTCTTCGGAGACTGATGCACCTTCTTCCTCCTCTTCACTGACGTAATCTTCTTCCAACATCTCGTTGGCAGTCACTTCAGGATCTCTGATCACCTCCAGGATGTTGTCGTTGGTGGTCTCGGAGAAGCCTGGAACTGTAACAGTCTGCGCAGCTTCTCTGGCAAGGTCCACTGCTACTGCAACAGTCTGAACCTCACCAGTCACAGATTGACTCCTCCTCTCACCTGGTATTCCATGCAACACATGTCTCCATGCGTGACGAATTGTAGCAATAGACAGCTGATCCCATGACTCCACCAAGAAGTCCACAGCTTTCTTGATGTTAAATACTCTCCAGAATTGTTTGAACAGTATTTTTTGCTGTGCCAACTGTTGATCCTCATCTTCTTCGCTCTTGCTATCGGTGGTGGTGTCACTCAGGTTACGCAACTCTTCCCTGGTGTTGGTGTAGTCGTTCAGGAGTTTGAATTTTTTCGTAGAGAATGCAGCTTTTACATTACAGATTAACTCTTGGTCCATGGGCTGTAATATAGACGTAGTGTTGGGAGGAAGGAAGACCACTTTTACGTTGGGGTGACGATCTAACAGTAGGGGCGAGTGTCCTGGTGCGTTGTCCAGCAGCAACAAAATCTTGAATGGCACATTCTGTCGCTCACAGAATTTCTTTACATCGGGAACAAAACAGTCATCAAACCAGGAGAGGGACAGTGTAGAGAACATCCACGCCTTACGTGCGGTCAGCCAGTGGACATTTAGCTTGGTCATGTCCATGGTTTTGTAGGCGTGCGGCTTGCGTGCTGTGTGGATCACCGATAACTTGAGCTTACAGGTACCGGAGGCATTGGTGGTAAACAGGACGGTGATGCGTTCCTTCTGCATCTTCCGGCCCCGAATCCTGCTGGCATTCTTTACAACGAAGGACTTGGAAGGTAGCTTTTTCCAGAAAAGACCAGATTCGTCCATGTTAAACACCTGGTCGTCACTGTACTGTCCTTCCTCCATAATCTCACGTAAAAACGGAGGAAATTCCCTAGCCGCAGCACGGTCAGCACTCGCTTCTTCACCACCAATGTTTATATTGGTGATCTTGTTCCGGATCTTAAACCTCTGTAACCACCCAGAGGAAGCATTAAAGGGTTTGGGCTCTGTAATTCCCATTTTTCGTGCCACTGCGATGTACAGTTCACGTGCGTAGTCCTTAACAGAGCGCGTGTCGACCGCCATGTTCCGTCGCGCCTGACACACCAAGTACCTCACAAGTAATTTTTCTGTCTTGAGAAGCACCTGGTTGTGGAAATACTTGATCATAGAAGCACCTGTAGACTTTGTGATCTTCATGTGCTCCTTTATCTTGGCTGTATCCTTCTTTATTGTTCGAATCGTAGATTCATTCACACCATGCTGGCGCGCCAAATCAACCTGCCTTGTTCCTTTCTCCAATTCTTGGATGATGGTATACTTCACCTCGTAGCTTAAGGAACGTCGTGTCTTCTTTGGCTTAGTGCCGCTGGGTCCAGGTAAGGAAAGGTTTCTCTCTGGGGGTGGTGGTCCGGCGGAAGCCATTTTAGAGAACAATGGATGCACGTTTACACGGTCTGGCATGGAGGGATGAAACTGGCGCGGCTAGGTCAAGGATGGTCTTTCCTCCCTCCCTCCCTCCCTCCCCCGGGTGGACACGTCATAATACTTTAAGCCAATTACAGCTAGCAGCAGAGGAGGTTAGGGATGCATGGCCAATCACAGTCCGATACGTCATATGACGTCAGTGATAACGCAACAAAGAGACACTGCGCAACCTTACCGCGCGGCTTGCCCAAGCGGAAGGAGGAGGAGGGAGAGGCGAGGAGCACAGGCAGGCAGGCGGGTGGGGCGAATCAAAAAATAGCGTTGCGCCGGACACTCTCCGCGTAATGGGATTCACGTACCGCGTAATGTGAGCATGTTAGATTCTGGCAAGGCACCGCGTAAACGTGGAAACGCGGAATGTGGCACCACGTAAAGTGAGGGTTAACTGTACTGTAATTCAGGAAGAATATTGGCACTCTCTATCCACTCTTCAAAGACTCAAATATGAGTAAAAGTCCACATCTACAACACCGTTCTCAAACAACACTTTTACATGCAAGCGAGACTTGGGTATTATACAAAAAATTAAATAGTAAAATAGAAGCTGCAGAAATGTGGGTCATCACACTTATTGTGGGAGTGACTAAAAGAGAGAATTAGAAACACCAGCATAAGAAATACCTTAGGCCTAGAACCTACTGTGACCCAGGTGGAAGGAAACCAACTAAGACGGTGCGGTCACACGGGAAGAACGTCACCGACGAGAGACCTCGAGCTCATACGCGATTGACAACCACGAGGTAGAAGACCCGTTGGTAGACCCAGGACAAGATGAACTGATGGAATTAACAACAGGGATGGACTTAAGACCTCTGTCAAGACGGAGCTGCACGGAGAGGACACGTCAACATGGTCTACTCCACGTCTGGGTAAAAGGTGTGTGCTGGAATGTAACCGTGCACATTAGGTGGGATCTATTGTACTTTGCTGTTATTAAATTAATTTGTGTATGACTCCTTTCCTATGTGGGACAGATCATTAGTCCAGATGGTAAAGGAACAGTTATAACTACACTTGTTAATGATTCTTTCTACTGACCCTAAACCTGGATAGTCCTTCAAATCATGTGAAAGTGGGTCCCATAGGCAGGGACAGTGTGGATACAGCACACTGTATACTAAACCTTCGGTACACAAGGAGGCAGCATGGCCGGTAATGCACTCCACCTCATTCACTTCCCCAAGTTGTAAACTTAAGGTACCCATTTACAGCTTGGCGAATAGAGAGTGCCCAGGAATCAAACCACTGACCCCTGGATCAGGAGGCAAGTGCTGTATCCACTCAGCCACCATGCTCCTTCAAATAATGTATTGTATAAAATAATAATAATAATAAAATAATAATAATTTACTATCAATATTACTTAAATTTTTTATCTTAGTGGGAAAAAGGTCTTAAGATGTTAAACTTACAGTTAATTTGTTTGTAGTGATTTCATCAAATTTCTCCATGATGGTGGAGGCTGAGTCTCCCAGGTGGAGGGGGGCAGCTGTGGCAGCAGCTTCTGTGGGTATCATCTCCAGGGCCAACCCGATGCTCTCCTGCACCTGTTGTTACCAACACAAATATTACTGGACATCAAAGACACATTAAAAGATGGAACCATGAAATCAATACCACTGATGCGTTGTTGAGCACAAGAGTGAAGCTACAAACACTTACAACCTTTCTGACATATTAAGTGAATTAAAATGGTCAAACCTACGTAAGAGCAAAAGGTTGTTTGAGTCATTCTTGACCAGAGTCCCTATGAATGACATACTGGATTAGTAACACCGGAGCTACAATGGACATACTTCTACATGTTAAGTATTCATACGACTTGTTAAAATTGGACAAACGTTAAATTATTTTTTCTCTTTGAATTAGTTTTTCCATCATAAATTAGGTATGAGTATGAGACACCTCTGTCCCTGATTCTAACAGAGAAAACTTTGACTATGAGTTGTTACCCACAAACACCACTTTACTATAGATATGCTCATGATTTGGGCTTTCATTTGGGCCAAATTCCTTCAAGAGTTTTGATAACATTTTCCACCCTGATCTTAATGATCTGGTTCCTACCACCAATTTTAGGTTAGAATGAACAGTTGCCTGCCATTGTACAGTACAATACTTGTTATAATTACTTTACTGTAACGCCTGTATGTCCACTGTTTTTACTGTCAATATTCTTCCACAAAGATGCCAATAATTTCTTCCATGTCTTTATGAGCTCTCTGGATATGTGTGCTTCTCCCTCCCGGGTATATTACTGCACATAAAATGTTCAAATAACTGAAATAGTCAACAAAGTCAACTGAACTGTACTGTACTGTACTGTACTGTGTTGTGTTGTACTGTGTTGTACTGTGCTGTGATGTGAGCTTTCTCATGTAGAGCTGTCTAGAGCATATTTCTAATTTGTGGCCTTATTATTGTACTGTACTGTACTGTGTTATACTGTGTTGTACTGTGCTGTGTTGTACTGTGCTGTGTTGTACTGTGCTGTGTTGTGCTGTTCTGTACTGTGCTGTACTGTTCTGTGTTGTGCTGTGCTGTACTGTACTGTACTGTGCTGTGCTGTACTGTGCTGTATTGTACTGTGTTGTACTGTGCTGTGCTCATAAGTCAACAGCATGTCAGTTTTATTATAACTTTATCTCTTTCAGACTAAAATTATTACATAAACATGAGATTTATTTTATTGTGAATCTTTCCAAGTAGAAGTATCAATGGAGAGGGCCAAGTCTCCCAGCTGGGATCTTCCTCTCAACGACTTATGGACCAATTTGTCTTAAAAACTTTGTTAACATAAAGGTGCGTCTGTGTATAAGTAAAGGAATATATTTGTATTTTTTAAGACCTAAATTGTGTGTAAATGTTTTCAGTCTCCCGAGAAAGAATAAAGTGTATTATTTTAATCATTTATACATGATGCTGCATTAAGTGATGTTAAAGAAATTATTCAAATGCTGTGTCTTCTTGTCAGCAACTGGGTGAAGTACCAAGTATAAAGTTACTTCACCTCACATGAGAAAGTCAACACTTGGATCCTAACATTTTGTTGAAATAACCATCAAGTTATTTACTGAAGGAACTGTACACAACAACCATCAAAGATCACCAAATGCTATTACTGTAAATATTATGGTTTAGTAGCCTCCACTAACATACCTTCACTGAGGTGTGGACAGTGTTCACGTTTGGGAATTGTTCCTGGCACTTCTGGATCCAATCTTCTGTCACCACACTACGCTGATCAGCGTCGTCGATGGCCATGACGACTTCCTGAGCAGAGTTAACTGTCTCGAGGCACTCCAGCACAGCCTGTAGCTGCTGCTTTCCTTCCTCTCCTTTAGTGCTCATATCCTCCACACTGGTCTCCTCTTGCTCCACAAGTTCTTTTGCTGCCTTGTTTTGTTCCAGCAGACCATTCAGTCTGTCCTCAAGAAGGTTGTGCTCAGTTTTCAAGTGTTTCACCTTCTTCCCGTATTTTCCCAGCTGGGACAGTTTCTCATCACAGGCAGTAATGAGGCTGCTTATGTTGTTCTTCTGCTCCTGCAACAAGGACCGGAACTTCTTGCTAATGCCTTTGGGTCCATCTTGAGGAGGTTTTGTTGGTGCCTTTGTTTGTGCTGGCTTGAACGACACACCTTTAAGTCTCCTTATGAGTGATTCCATCCCATAGTTTATGGGAAGTTGAGTTACATCAGTAACAGCCAAAGTGTTGTGGTCAGCACGGCAGTTGGGACAGGTGAACTGAGAGTTCTTTATCATGTCAACAATGCAGACAGTGCAGAAGGTGTGGCCACATGGCAGAGAGCGTGGGCGTCGAAGAGCTTCATCAAAGTTGTCAAAACAGACTTTACACTCTTCTGGCTTGTCGTTATCCTGTGAAGAAGAGCATCTTTTCAGTATATATATATATATATATATATATATATATATATATATATATATATATATATATATATATATATATATATATATATATATATATATATATATATATATATATATATATATATATATTATGTAAATCCACAATGAAAACGTGATAAGATAAATCTGATAAAATCACACTTAAATGGAAACAACGGAGTACCTTAGTTTCTTTATTCAAGACATCTTCAGAGGCAACTGATGTCTTGAATAAAGACGAAAGCTAAGGTAATTCCCATTTTCTCGATTTTATCAAGATATATATATATATATATATATATATATATATGCAAGTAAATCACTGTAGGTGCCTGCGATCTAGGTATATATGATAACCACAAGGAAAGAAGAAAAACACGGTTCCCAAGCCGCTGTAATTCACATCTTCAGGGTGACAGTACAGACTAGAGAGAGTAATACAATCAAGGTGTATATATACAGAGGAGGGTGAGACCAGGTCCACAATGGTCAGGTATTAGGTAATGACCTCACTAATCTTTAAATAGCACACAACGGTTCGTGGTCAGGTCATGGTCATGACCTGGCCTTTCTCACCTGATCACAAATCTTCTTAATTACAAAATTGTCCAGCTTGTACATGCCGTTACTCCAAATTCATGTTGAATGTTTCAGTATGTATAATAAGACTAGATTCATGATGTTCCTACTATCAATTGAATTACATGGTAATATTGAGGAGGCATTATCCCAGTCAATGCAAATGCTTGTTATCCCTCAAATGAACAAACAGCATTGGATTCTGGCCTGTCCTAACACTGTATTTGTGTTGTTTAACTTAAGCTGCTGCAAGATCTTTACCTGTCTGGTCAAGTAAAACATATTACATTCCTTGCAAGGAACTCTATAAATGCAACTAAATTGTATTGTTGGGGAGTTCTTGATTAACATTTGTTTCCAGGTTTTAGTTGTGCAGGAATGTGTGAGAAATTTTTGTGAAATGGTAATATTAAGATATTCTTATGGTCATGGGTGGGCTTGGGACAGTCCTATAAAAAGTTTCTTAGTAATGTTTAAGCATTTGTCTATGAAAGATCTAGGGTATTTAAGGTTTGAGCCAATATTATATATATATTTGTATTCTCATCGATGAATCCGGACTGCAAATTCTCAAGGCACGAAAAACATTGTTGAAAATCTGACTGTTTGATTTTATTATGGTGGGCAGAATAATAATGAATGTATGAACACACATTAGTTGGTTTTCTATAAATACTGAACTTAAAAAGTTACCCCAACAACACAATTGGTTGCATTTATAAAGTTCCTTGCAAGGAATGTAATATATATATATATATATATATATATATATATATATATATATATATATATATATATATATATATATATATATATATATATATATATATATATATATATATATATTTTCCGCCATCTTAATCACAGAGCTGAACTTTCACGTGTCCGTTTTAGCTCATAATTACTCTGGTTGTTGGAATTCTTATAATATACAAATTTTAGATAAAATTAGTTTCAGAGAATTACATCTTGTGCAAATATATGACATTTATATTCAAATATTCCTAGTCTTAAGGCGAATCCAGCAATAAATTATATTATCCTAACTTTAGTTTGAGGTAATATTTAATAAAATTTAGTGGTTATCCCACACATCTCCTTGGGACGTTGGTGGAGGAGGGGAGGGAGGGACCCATCGACCATCTGTAATTCCCTGCAGGAAGACTCTTTTTAATCATAAATTTCCGGTTCAATTTTACACAAATTTTAGATAAAATTTTTCTCATTCAATCTATACATCTTTTGTGCAAATATCTTCAGTTCTTACAAGGAATCCAGCAATGTCAATATATTATCTCACTTATCTGAGGTAATATTTAATACTAAATGTTGTATTTTTTATTAACTTTAGCTCATAAATCACAAATTGAATTTCCAGGTAACTCCTGCACTTCTGATCCCACTTTACCTGGTCCTCTGTCTCCCATTTGTTATGGGCACAATCTGTATATATATATATATATATATATATATATATATATATATATATATATATATATATATATATATATATATATATATATATGCAAGTAAATCACTGTAGGTGCGCAGTGATCTAGGGTATATATATATATATATAATATATATATATATATATATATATATATATATATATATATATATATATATATATATATATATATATATATATATATATATATATATATATATATATATATATATATATATATATATATATATATATATATATATATATATATATATATATATACAATATGTTGGTAACCCCACTTAATCTAGTCAATAGAACCCAGAGGGTCCCGTTAAGTGAAATCCGCGTTAAGTGAACAACAGAACATATGGGATTAATTCCAATAGAAACCAGCCCGACCCCCAAACTCCACTTTTTGAAGACACATAACTATGTTGTAGTAAAAATAACATCTAAATTTTATGATGGTACATGCATACAATTAATACTTAAGAGAAATAGATAAATACAGTCGCCAAGTTAATGTCCATTCAAATAATGGACTCAACTCCCTCCCCCTCTTCTCACACTACACTGCTGGCTCTTCCCTCTCTGAGAAATTTTTGGAGGAAAACCACAAAATTTTAATAAATAACACCTCAAACTAAAGTTAGGATAATACAATTGACATTGCTGGATTCCTTGTAAGACCAGGAATATTTTGAATATAAATGTCATATATTTTGCACAAAAGATAACATAGTTACTCTGAGAAAAATTTTATCTAAAATTTGTATGTCTAATGCAAAATATATGATGTTTATATTCAAAATGATCATCAAATTATAAGAATTCCAGCAATGTAAATTATATTCAGACCGGGTAATTTGTATGAATTTTATGAGCTAAAACAAATATCTTCAGTTAATAAAAAAAAAAATATTCTTCAGGACACTATCTGTCAATCAAAGTACCCCACCTTGCCTCCCCCCTCTTCCAACCGCGGTTAGTCCCAACCCTCCCCCCCACCCCCCACCAATCCTCCCTTCAAGAGAAGAGTGGGTGAAAAAAATAAATTTTAACATTTTGTATTAAATAATACCTCAGATTAAAGTTAGGATAATATAATTGACATTGCTGGATTCCTTGTAAAACCAGGAATATTTTGAATATAAACGTCATATATTTTGCACAAAAGATAACATACTTACTCAGAGTGAACATTTTATCTAAAAATTTGTATGTCTAATGCAAAATATATGATGTTTATATTCAAAATGATCACCAAATTATAAGAATTCCAGCAATGTAAATTATATTCTGGCCGGGTAATTTGTATGAATTTTATGAGCTAAAACAAATATCTTCAGTTAATAAAAAAAAAAATATTCTTCACGACACTATCTGTCAATCAAAGTACCCCACCTTGCCCCCCCCCTCTTCCAACCGCGCGGTCAGTCCCAACCCTCCCCCCCACCAATCCTCCCTTCAAGAGAAGAGTGGGTGAAAAAAATAAATTTTAACATTTTGTATTAAATAATACCTCAGATTAAAGTTAGGATAATATAATTGACATTGCTGGATTCCTTGTAAGACCAGGAATATTTTGAATATAAATGTCATATATTTTGCACAAAAGATAACATATTTACTCAAGAGTAAACATTTTATCTAAAATTTGTATGTCTAATGCAAAATATATGATGTTTATATTCAAAATGATCATCAAATTATAAGAATTCCAGCAATGTAAATTATATTCTGACCGAGTAATTTGTATGAATTTTATGAGCTAAAACAGGCAGTCAGGCAGGGTGGCGGGTGGGGCAAATCTAAAAATAGCATCTGGAGCCGGACACTCACCGCGTATATGTGGAAAAAATCCGTGTTAAGTGAAAGTTCAGCTCTGGCGAGGCACCGCGTATATGATAAAACGCGTTAAGTGAAACCGCGTTAGGCGGGGTAATACTGTATATATATATATATATATATATATATATTATATATACAGTGACCCCTCCGTTAACAAACTCAATCCGTTCCAGAAGGTCTTTCGTTAACCGAAAAGTTCGATAACCGAAACCATTGTTTCAATGGGTTTTTGGGTAATTGGTTCCAGCTCACCGAAAATTTCCTAAATTCAACATAAATGGAAGAAAAGTTCACTTACTTTGAGGTGTGAATGTAGAAGGCTCCTGGATGATGATGATGATGATGGGATTTAGAATGGGGGTGGAGGAGATGGAAGAAGAGAAGGCATTGGGGTGGAAGAGAAGTCACCCCATGGCGCTATTTCACCCATAAAATTTTAGCTCTCTTGGTGTTATTCAAGATTATATATTGTCAATATGTAAAATATATTTCAAAATGACCAATGATTTGCTTGGAAACACAGAAAAAAAGCGTTTAGTTGAAGAGAGTCTCAAGCAAGATGTTACCTCCAGTGAAAACAGAGAGAGACTAACTCCTGTTTGCTGTGTTAAGAGGCTGGATGCCGCGCAATAAACTAGTCACTTTGCCTTCAATTATGTTCAATAATTGTTAAAATGACTGTAAGGGCGGAAACGATCCTCCGGCTGGTTACCGCTGCTTACTCGCTCGTTTGCTGGTGCAGACGACACTTGGGATGGTTGGACGGAGGTGAGAACGGCAGCGACTATCTGCGCCACCGGCAGATTCAACCCAGCCGCCATACCGTCAGTATCTAGCTACCCTGCTGTCCGTCAAATTCTGGCTGTGATCTCATCATAGGTTCTGGACTCGTGGGCTGTGTTCCCAGACCTTCACCTATCAACTGCCAACTCTCTGGTCATCTACCACTACCGCATACCCCGACAGTCAGTTCCTCACATTCCGTCTGTGCCCCGGTGTTCTCCTGCCTTTTCAAGACGTCGCTGAGTGTGGAGTGAATGGGCGCTTCCCTACCCTGAGTGTGCATCACCGTGTTCCAGAACCTTCC